CTCAGAAGTGCCAACGTCTATATAGCAGAATTACTGACTCACAACAACTAGAGAAATACGTTTTGCAATCACTTAAAATGAGTATAAGTTGTGAAAAAATATAACTGCATACACCTAATCCTCTTGTCTCCACCTCCCTTCCTAGGATTATAGGTGTGCAGCCTTTGGTCCAGTTGGAAAGAAAACAGCTAAATAATTTCAAAGGCTCTTGTGTTTTTGTTTGTTTTTCACTGTACTATCAAATTGGCTTTATTATTTCTCCTAGCTTTAGATATGGTAGCAAACACCTGGAATAAACTAACTATTGAAACTGCTCCAGCAGGTGATCCCCAACTAAGCAAGCAGATAAGCAGTCAAGAGTCTGACTTCCTATTATGTGGGTAGCCTGGTTCCTATGTTTACTCCACATAGAGCTACTTATTAACCATTTCTTTGCTACTAATGAATGAGACCACAATGTAACTCTTCTATCCACTTACTACAATGTATCTACAGAGTTAGGACTCAAAATTGAGCCATTAATACCCTCTAATCTGACATACACGTTAACACCAGCACTAGGGAAGCCAAAGACCTCAGTGAATTCACAACTAGCCTGGTCTACATAGTAAGAATCAGGTGAACTAGGGCTACACAGTCAAACTATTTCAAAATAAAAGTCTCTCCCCCCTCACACGTGCCGCACACTCACACAAATCCTCTAATCTAACTTCAATTCCACTGATTCTATAAACTCTACCATGTGTACCTTTACGACCACCTTTGTTTTCTTGAGGCAGGGTCTATGTAGTCCTGACTCTTCTGTGACTCCTGTGAAGATCAGGAGACCTTAAACTCTGAGTCATCGGCTTCTGTCTCCTGAATGGTGGGATCAAAGGTGTGTGCCACCACACTGGTCCCTACAACTTTAATAGAATTCATCCAATCTTTCTCATGTTACATTTGGAAAAATTCTGAAACAACTATTTCATGCAAAGATGTTATCAATTCAGGTTTTGGGTTTTTGTTTTTTGGTTTTCCTTTTCATTTGCTTGGTTGATTTTGTTTTGCTTGTTTTAAATGTTTACTTATTTATATATGGGCATTAGAGAGCCATGGCATGTGAAGAGGACAACCTGAGAGAACCATTCTCTCTTCCCATTATGTGGGTCCCAGGGATCAAATTCAAGTCAGCAAGCTTGGCAGCAAGTGTCTACACAACCATCTCACCCACCCTCAACCCAGTTTTTTTTTTCTTTTCTTTTTTAAACTGTTTTGTTTTGTTTTGTTTTTCAAAACAGGGTTTCTCTGTGAAGTCTTAACTGCCCTAGAAATCACCCTATAGACCAGGTTGGTCTTGAAATCAGAGATCTGTCTCTGCCTCCCGAGTGCTGGGATTAAAGGTGTGTGCCACGACTGCCCAGTTCAACACAAGTTTTTAACTTAAAAATCTATACTTGTTTTAACTACAGTGTTTCTTCCATAACTGTTTATTTTATTCTCTATGTTGTTACTGTTTCTTGTCCGGCACATTTATCACCATAACCACTTCAGTGTCCTGCATGACACAAAACACAATGCTGACGGATAATACGCAAATACTTAATGTCCAGTGTACCAGAAACCATGTTAAGCTGACATACAGCATCTCACATAAGTTTTAATTTTTAGTAAATATCAGTGTAAGTTCCATTTCACAAGAACAAAAATCAGAACAGAGTAATTTACCTCAGCTCACATCGAGTAACTAAAAGAATTGGGATTAACTGTACTGTCAGACTCCAGCATCTACTGTGCTGAGTTCTACAGTAAGAATATATAAATATATGGATATGACAGTAATGTGGAGACTACTAAAAACGTAGAGGGTCAAAAGAATTTAAAGGAATTGGACCAGGTGTGATATATGCCTATAATCCCAGTGCTTCATTTGGTAAAAGAATGGGAAATGTTGTTGAGGCCAAATGAGTTATAAGACCCTGCCATTAAAAAGAAGAGAGAACACAAAGAGATTGTCTTACACATAAAAATGACTTAACATTTAATTTCTATAAACTTTATTTCTAAGAAATAATATGGTCTTAGTTACAAACTCTAAAACTCCAATATACAAATAAAAAAGGTTAAATTCACATCAATTTTTATTCTAAAAGTTTTCTGCAGTAAAATAAATGTTTCCTATTAATGCTGTCCAATATAGTGGACACATGGCATACATCATTTACACTTGAAATGTCTGGAGGGACTCAGAATTTTGGACATTTTGTAACCTAAATAGTGTGGCTACAGCTACTACACTGGATAACACAGGTGTAAAACATGAAATTCCAGAAAAAGTGTAGAAACCCTGCCGATTTTATTTGGACAGTTTAACAGTCAAATCAATTAATATTTCTTTACTATTTCAGCTTCAATTAACTCAACATAAACCTCCACTACATTTAGACTGATCAAAGTCTTGTACAGCTGTCATCCCCTCTCTTTCACACACACGCACACATTTCCAGGCCTCAAGGACCCAGCTGATGTAAAGTACTTGCTTACCTTGATTCTCCACTGCCATTTCTAACACTTTCTTCATCACTGTGTCCATTCATTGTAAATATCAGGTAGTTTTAAAATTCAACACAAATCTTCCCACTTTAATAAAAGATGAATACAAACGTCAACTTCCTCGAATATCAAAATTTCAAAGATGAATTTTCTTCAACATTCACAGGCTTCCTGGGACTCCTCTCTGAGTAACCTGGGGAAAATATATCAGCAATTAAGAATATATGCTGTAGGAAAAGAAATATACCCGATTTAGAATTCACAGAAATGTGCCTAGGCCGTTCAACTAGAGGTGGCAATGAAGGTGTGTAAGGAAGCCTCTTACTCGCAATAACTGACCATCTATTAAATACATTCTTAATTGCTTGCTAGAACTTTGCCTGCCACTGCTAGTGCTGTTTTGACAGAAGGAATTTAAAGATTTGTTGGGCAACAAACTTCCCAAGGCTAATTGCTACTGTGTAGCACTACTTATACAGATACTAAAACAAAGTGGTTCCATGTAAGATATACAGACAAGCAAAGAGTGGAACATGGTGTTTTATTTGGTAACTTCGCCAAATAAACGAGGTGAAGATAAAGGTTACGTTAATGAAGCTCTAATTCCTATTATCAAGAACTTCATATTCCAGCTAAGAAAAGTTTTTAAATCCCCATATGGAAAAGAGTGTCGTAAAAGTTATCATGATCTTAGCAAAAATGCAAACGTCAAAATTGAGGTTTTTAATCAGAGTAAAATGAGAAAAAAAATTATCCAATGTGATACTTAAGACGCCTTCAAAATCATAAAAGGGTAATACAAAGAATATACACTGTATCTTCTTTTCGAGGCACGCGACTGGGGGCAGGGGGACACCAAGATACACTATTTCCACCTCTCAGGATCTCACCACAGCACTAGAGTCACCTACAAGCGAACCACGAATAAACAAAGGAGATCTCTGGCAGGGGAGGGAGAGGAAGAAGCGGGGGAAGGAGACGTCAGATCCTTCCCCAAGCCAGAAAGTACCAAGACACACACGGAAAGGCAGAGTTGTCCTCCGACTCCGGCAGAGACTTAACTCTGATTATTTCCACTCCACAGGACAGAGGGGTCAAACTAGCTGCTGCCACCTCAGTCGGGGCCGCCACCGCACCCGGTGGATCAGGATTTCGAACCTGCAGAGCGCAGTTCCTCACACCTCCGTGAGGACAGGTTATCTAAAAACCACAGTACTCGACAGCAGCAGTTCTTAACGTTAGCTATTAATACCAGCCCCGGTGAGAGAGCTTTACTACGAAACCGTGTCCAAGTCCTCCACCTCCTTTCTCTCCGGAAAGTCTGCGCTCAAAAGTTCACTCGCCTGGGCTCTTTCCCTTTCACCTTCCTCTCGCCCCTCAAGATGGCTTTCCCCGTCCGCTGGACTTCCTTTCCAGCCTCACCTCCTTTCTCCGCCTCAGCAGCGACAGCCTTAAGTTCTGCTCCGGGTGCCCGGACTCCCTCCGGACGCTCAACAATGAGAGTCCCCCCAAAGTCGCTTAGGCTCTGCAGCCTCCCTCCCTCCCGGCAATTGCCGGGATCCGGCTAAGTTTGCCGGGCGGCGCCGCGCGGGGCCGCAGCACCTTCTCTCCCCGCAGCCGGGCGCCGCGGCCTCCTTCCCGCCTCCCCGGAGCCCTCCGCGCGCCCTCCCGGGCTCGCCCGGCCGCCGCCCCCTCCCCCTCGCGCTCCCACGTGCTGGTCCCCGCCGCGCGCCGGGCAGCGCCGCCAAGGCCCGCCGAGGATGCGCCGGGCCGCTCTCCCACGCCCCCGGAGCCGCGCCGGGCCTCACGGGGGGCCTCGCCGGTTCACGGCCTCCCCGGCCTCCCCGACCCATTCTTACCGGCCGGCTTGGGGAGGAGGGTGGCGCGGGCCGGCGCCTCGGGTGGAGGATGCCCCGCGCGGGGCCCGCGATCCTGGACGCCCAGGCCGCGGGACCCGCGCCGCCGACGGCGAAGGGGGGGGGAGGGAAGGCCGCGGGCGGAGACGCGCGGGAGGTGGCGGCGGAGCGGGTCCCACGATCAGTTCATCTCCGGGCGCCGAGGCCGAGCGGGAAGTACCGAGGGCGCCTCCTCCGTCCGTGCTCCCGCCCCGCCGCTTATCGGCCGCCGGCAGCCGCCATGACGCCGAGACCGCGAGCAAGCGCAACCGTCTCCGCCGCGCGGCGCCGCCGAGGTCGCCGTCGCCTCCGCCTCCCGAGCGACGTCACCGCCTGGGCTCACTCCCCCTTCCCGGCGCGCGGCTGCGGCGGCGGCGGCAGCGCGCACGCCCGGCCTTTCCGCCGACGCGCGAGCGCGGGGCGGGGCCTGGAGGGGCGGGGCCTGGCGGGAAGGGGCGGGGCCTGGCGGCGGCGCGCGCCCCTCCGGGGAAGCCGCTGCGCTCGGGCGGGGGCGCAGCATGCGGGTCTGGGACCCACGCTGCCCTCCGCGGTCGCGCGGGGCTCCCGGAGGTGGGCGCTCCCGTCACCGCAAGCCGTGCGCCCCGGGTCCGGCCTGAGCTGCTGCGTCACCCGGGCAGCCTGGGAACCCTCTTGGGCAACCTTGTCACCTCCCGCTGTGTGGCTCGCCCGGGCGCCCTGCGTCTAAATCTCTTCCCGGGCGGGGCGCTAGTGAAAGAGAAAAATAAGAGTTGCTGGCTGTTGACATCCCGTGACGCTACTTGATTCGTGTGTGGGCGGCCCATGCCTGGTTCATAAAAAGAACTTTTACAACACTGCCTGGCCAGGGCCCTCCCTGGAGGGCGAGTGGAAGGGTGTCGCGCCGAACTGGAACAAGAAAGGCCACCGGAGGGGCGTTGGTAACTGTCTGGGTCGAAGGTGCTGCACCTTAGTTGACAGTTTCTGTCATTTACTGTATCCGCGGGCCTCAGAGTGTTGGAAACAGGATCTCTTCAAGCATGGTGATGTAGCAATCTGTGTATGGTTTTTAATTTTGTTTTTATTACGCTTTTTGGTTTTGAAAGAGCGTCTTATTATGTAGCCCAGGGTGGCCTCGGGATAATCCTATCGCCTTCAAAGTGTTGTGGTTTCAGGCATGTGCCACCACTCTGACCGTTTTTTTTTTTTTCAAGTGTTTGGATTTTTTGTTTGTTTGCTAACTTGTTTTTAAAGAAAAATTCTTTCTGACTTCATTTTTCTGGTCTGCAAATTTTAAAACTTTTTTTAAAAGACATTATACAATTAGCGGGGGGTACAGGCACATGCCTTTAATCCCAACACTTAGGAGGCAGACATAAGCACATCTCTGAGTTCAAGACCAGCCTAAATCTACAGCCACGATCCAGGCTGTTCTTAGTTTGGGTGGGATTACCGTTGTACCCACCATGTGGGGCTAATTTTTAAAACTTCCTAGTTTGTTATTTTGTTCTGCTTTGTTTTTCAAGACAGGGTTTCTCTGTGTGTCTTTGGCTGTTCTGGTACTTGCTTTGTAGACCAGACTGACCTCGAACTCACAGAGATTCGCCTGCCTCTGCCTCCCAAGTGCTGGATTAAAGGTGTGTGCTACCAAGATCAGCCCTATTTTGTTATTTGAAGTTAGATTTGCTTCACAGGAATGCTTGAGGTTTAATGTTGGACTGCAATAATATTCTCCAAATAATTCTTAAGCTTATTTGGGAAATTTCTAATAAAAATTTTAACTTTGAAGCTTTATGTTTTGAAAAACCAATATACTTCATTGATCTGTAATATCTTAGAATGATTTAAGAATATAGAGAAATATAATGTATAAAAAATTGCAAGAATCTAGCCTGGGGGGCTGGAGAGATGGCTCAGAGGTTAAGAGCATTGCCTACTCTTCCAAAGGTCCTGAGTTCAATTCCCAGCAGCCACATGGTGATTCACAACCATCTGCAATGAGGTCTGGTGCCCTCCTCTGACCTTCAGGCATACACGCAGATAGAATATTGTATACATAATAAATAAATAAATAAATAAATATTTAAAAAAAGGAATCTAGCCTGTTTGGGTCTTAAAGGTCCAGGTGTAATGCAACAATGTGTTTTCAGTATCTGTTAGCTGCATGATTAAATTCCCAGGTTTTTTTTTAATAAACAATCTCTTTACATTTTGTTGTTGTTTTTTTTTTATTAGTGTTTGCTTGTATGCCACTGCACACATGTGGAGGTCAGAGACAGCTTGCAGGGGTTGGTTCTCACTTTCCAAGGGACGTGACTCAGATTCTTAAAGCTTGATGGGGGGTCTCTTCAAGCACTGAACCCAACTGCGTCTCTTATTATCAAACAACAGCCTCAGAGTGATTATCTAAACATATAAATAGCAGAAATTCCAAAAAATTAGCATCAGCCATTAGGGGTTTGGGTTTGGTTGTTTTGCTACTATTCAGGTTCCATTCGAAACACTTTGTAGTCCTTTGGGAGTATAGTAAGGAGGCTACTTGTTCCTTCCCAACTGCCCAGCCCTGAAATAATCACACAGAAACTGTATTAATTAAATCACTGCTTGGCCCATTAGCTCTAATTTCTTATTGGGTAACTTTTACATATTAATTTAACCCATTTCTATTAATCTGTGTATCGCCACATGGCTGTGGCTTACCTGCAAAAGTTCCCAGCATCTGTCTCCAGTGGCTACATGGCTTCTCTCTGACTTTGCCTTCCTTCTACCTTGCTATAGGCCAAGCCAGTTTCTTTATTCATTAACCAATAAAAGTAACACATAGACAGAAGGACCTCCCACACCATGGGAGAGTATGACATTTACAGATTCTAACACATTATTTTGTGAATCTTTATTTCTGATGCTAATGAAGATTGCCAATAGATGTCTGTGATTTGTTATTGTCAATGCAATTAGATTGAGAAATATCTAAGAGATAGTAAAATATAGAACTGGGTGTGTCTATGAGGTCATTTCCAGAGGAAATTAAAGGATTGAAGCACCTACATCATCCTTGCATGGATTCAAACTTTGCTGGACTATTGGGATGTTGTGGAACTGTGGTGGTAGGGCCTCAGTGGAAGAAGTGAATCATTGGGGGTGTGGCTTAAACTATATCTTGGCTCTGGCCTCAAAACAATGAACCAAAGTACACCTTTCTTCCTATAAGTTGCTTTGTCAGGAATCTGAAAAACACAGTGACATGAAAATGATCCTACCCCCCTCCACACACACACACACAGTATTCTTTTTTTTTATTATTTTTATTTTTATTTTTCGAGACAGGGTTTCTCTGTGGCTTTGGAGCCTGTCCTGGAACTAGCTCTGTAGACCAGGCTGGTCTCGAACTCACAGAGATCTGCCTGCCTCTGCCTCCCGAGTTCTGGGATTAAAGGCGTGTGCCACCATCACCCAGCCACACAGTATTCTTAAATAGAGAAACAGTTCCATGATGATAAAATATGTCTCAGATCGAAAGCAGTAGCTCTTTCCTCTTCTAATTTTGTGGTTGTCACTATAGGAATAAATATATTCTTTTCCCTACTTAATATTAAAGTAGCTTAAGATTATTCCAGTTTTTTTTTATTTTATGGTCATGTGGAATTGATACATATTCTGTGGGAACAACTTTTTGAATCTTGATTTTTTTTTTTCTGGGCTAAAGGCATCCCCTATAAGTCACAGTGCCTACTAAGGTATTATTAGACTTGGTGATCATAGGTAAACAACACATACTCAAGTATCTGTGTTACTAAATTATTGTATTGTGTAGATCACATGGGTTAGATAAAGGGTGTTTTCAGTTTTAGCATATGATATCAACTTGAGTGCCTTGCCAAATAGAAGAATTTCCCAAATATCATGTGTAAATTTGTAAAGTTCTTTGATAGGCTTATGAAATTTTAAGGCATAGTAATTGTCTTTTTTCTACTTTTCTAATCATAATTTTGTAGGAGCTACTGTCTCCAGAATTGGGCAGAACGGTTGCCTGGCACTGTATTCTACCTCGTCCACTGTGAGTGATTTCATTCAGACATGATGGTTATTATACTTGGGGATTATGACTAATAACTTTTCTTTTTTAAAGGTTTTTCTTACATTTATTTTGTGTATGTGCATGTATGTGTATGTACATGATACAATATACACATGTATGTATAGGTCAGAGGACAACTTGAAAGATTCGACTCCTTCCTTTCATCATTTGGGGCCTGGAGATCAAATTTGGGTCATCAGACTTGGCAACAACTGCCCTAACTAGTTGAGCCATTTTGTTAGCTGATAAATCCTTTTCTTTTTTAGATATGGGTGGCTGTAGGAGACAGCCTCCTGTAACACGAATTCTAATTATTCTTAATAATAAAAACCCAGAGACAGATATAGGTGTTAACGCTGAAAGAGCAGAGAAGCAGAGCAGCCAGCCACTAGCAATGCTCAGACCAAAGGGCTGATCCTGTCCCTAAGAATCCTCAGACTGTTGCTGTCTCTACAAAACTCCATCCATCTCAATGAATCCTTAGATGGCACTGAGCTCCTGGGTCTTCCTGGTTTATAGTTCACTCTCCAGCCAGCCATATCACTCCTGTCTCCATCTACCTAGTGCTGGGATTAAAGCCGTGTGATCCCAAGTGCTGGGATCATCTTAGTATGAGCTCTGTTTTCTGTTTTGGGTTTAATCTTGTGAAGCCCAGGTTGGCCTTGAACTCACAAAGATTTGTCTGCCGTGGCCTCCCAAATGCTGCGATTGAAGACGTGCTACCACCGCCCTGGCAACCACGGCAGCTCTTATAAAGGAAAACATTTGATGGGGCTGGCTTACAATGTGGAGGTTTATTACATTATTGTCATGGAGAAAAGCATGGTGCCGTGCAAGCAGACATGGTGCTAGAGAGATGGTTCTACCATCAGACCAGCAAGCAGGAGAAAGAATGACACTGGGCCTGGTTTCGGCTTCTGAAAACTCAAAGCCCACCTCCCAGTAACAAACTTCCTCCAACAAGGCCATACCTCCCAACAGTGCCACTCTCTGTGAGCCTGTATGAGCATTTTTATTCAAACCAACACACCCTGCTTCTGTGCTACATTGTGAGACCCGTGAGTATGAAGAATGTCCATACTGCATTATATTAAGTCATTCTGTATACTTACTTCATCTTAGACATTCCACTAAGGGATAGGGAATTGTCATAGAGCAAAACCAGACACACTTAGGGTGTTTTTTGTTTGTTTGTTCGAGACAGGGTTTCTCTCTGGGACAGTCCTGACTGCCCTGGAGTTCACTTTGTAGCCCAGGCTGGCCTCGAACTCACAGAGATCCACCTGCCTCTGCATCCCGAGTGCTGGGATTAAAGGCGTGTGCCACCACCGCCCTGCTACTTTTAGGGTTTAATACAAGAACTAATTACTTAAAAAGTATCCTTCAGGGATGTTTAAGAAGTGTTTCAGTGATGATTAAATCAGCACCACATCTTCAAATGTATTAATTCCTTTTCTGTTGCTGTGGTGATTTAAATAATGACCTCCCTAGGCTCATATATTTGAATGCTTGCTCACTAAGGAGTGGAACTGTTTAAAAAGGATTACAAGGATTAGGAGGTGTTGCCTTGCTGGAAGAAGTGTGTCACTGGGGTGAAACTGTGCTTTCAAAAAGCCCATGCCAGGCTCAAAAGCTCAGTCTCTCTCTCTCTCTCTCTCTCTCTCTCTCTCTCTCTCTCTCTCTCTTTCTCCCTCCCTCCCCCTCTCTCCGTCCCTCCCTCACTTCCCTCCCTCCATTCTTCCCTCCCTCCTTTCTTCCCTCTCCCCTCCCCTCCCACTCCTGCTCCTCTCCCACCTTGTAGATCAAGATAACTCTCATCTACTCAGCTACTGCTCCAGCACCATGAATGCCACAATGCACCAATCATACCCGCCCCCCCCCCCCCCCCCCCCGTGACAATAATGGACTAAACCTCTGAAACTGTAAACAAGCCCCTAATTAAATGCTCTTTTATACGAGTTGCCTTGGTCCTACTGTCTCTTCACAGCAATAGAACAGTGACTAAAACAGTTGCTATGACAAATTACCTAACAAGTACAGTTTCAAGAAGCAAAGGTTTATTCTGGTTTACAATTTGCTGTTCATCACAGTGGGGAAGACATAGAGGCAGACATATAAGGCAATTGGTTACATTGTTTCTACAGTCAGAAAGGAGAGAGATAAACACTGATGCTTAGCTTGCTTTCTTGTTTTTACTTAGTCCTGGACTAATGCTGCCCACATTCAGAGTTAAGTCTTCCTTCTAACTGTATTATAGACACAAGCAAAAGTGTGTTTACCTGATAACTCTAAACATAGTCAAACTGACAGTGAAGATTAGCCTTCACTATCAAGGACTAGAATACATAGTACTGAGAGACCACACAGTAACTGAGAGAGAGGCTCTACAAAGGCAAGGTTATCCAGAGACTAAGCAGATTGTCTAGGAAAATAGGAAATCATCAAAGGAATTTTAGCTTGATGGTGACTTAACAGGATTGGTAAATTGAAAATTGTACTCTAGATATAAATCCCAAACAAAGATTAGGGTGTACCAAAGTAGATAAAATGCTCCCAAATTAGAAGTTTTGCAGATAAAAGAAACAAAAGAATGGCATAATGAACCAGGATAGTGTAATAGAGGTGGAGAGTGAGTTGGGGGAACAGTAGAATACTCTTCCTGGGGTTGGACTGAGCATTAGGAGGAAGAGGTTACTTCTGTATTTACAGCTCAATGATAGTGGTATCCATCCACTTGAGTGTTAATGTATTTGAAGAACATTGGGAGGTTGGGGGATCATTTGGTTTAGCACTTACTGAGTTTCTGCTGCACTTGAATCATCCAAGCAGTTTCTAAATGGAAGCACGAACCTGGGAACAAGCTCCTTCAGGCAGAAAGGACTTATTTTAGCTCTATTTCACAGGATAGTCTATTACTACTGGGAGGCCACAGCAGCCTGAGTCTGAGAGAGCTGGTTACATCATTTCCAAAACAGAAAACCAGTAAGTGTACAGGGAAAGATTAAACTCTTGAGTATACACGAAACTGACTTTGGAATAGCTCAGGTCCTAGGTAGAGGAAGAGGAGGCAGAAATGCTGGAGCTCCTGGGTGTTATGCTAGACAAAACAAATGACTAAGTGCTTCAAGGAAGGAACAGTAAATAAGCAATGTCAAATGCCAATGTGAAGTCTGTGAAGCAAGACCTTGAAAGTGTCCCTGGGATTGAGTGACGTGATCGTCATCAGTTACCATAACAAAAGCTGTTTTGTTGCGCCACATGGCCATAAAATAGATTGAAACGGAGTGTGGTGGATGATAAATAAATGAAATGAATCCAAACTTCTCACAGGATTTGACTTTTAATTGGGAGGGAATACGTCTTTTTTGTTATTTTTAAATATGTGTACGTGTCTGCATGTGCTCACATAAGTGGTAGGCGTTCAGGAGCTGCAGTTGTGAGCCTGGGAACTGCAGTTACCTGACATGGGTGCTGGGAACTGAACCTGTGTCTGTGAGAGCAGTAAATGAGTGGTCTTAACTACTGAACCACTCCTTCAACCCGGAATGTATCTTTTGTGTCTTTGAGGATGTTGACCTTTTGGCTTTGATAAAACACTAAAGGTGTTCCAAAGACAGAAAACCACTTGTGTACATACGCATGAGCGTGGGAGGATGGAGATAAGACATGGCCTTACAAGGAAGCCTTAGCTTGATAGCATCAAACAGGCCATCTGACTGCTACTACATCCTGAGTCTGAGACAACTGGTATACCTGGCACATAACTCTCCCATTCCCTCCTTCTCCCCCTCCCTGTGATGGTTAATTCCAACTTGAGATAACCTAGAAAAGAGCCTCAGTGGGAGACTGTCTACATTGGGTTGGCCTATGGTCATGGGATAGGAGACAAGGCTGTCTTAAGTTAATTGATGTTCGGGATGACTCAGCCCACTGTGGGTGGCACCATTTCCAAATCAGCAGGTCCTGAACCATGTAAGAGTGGAGACCCAGCTGAGAACAAGCACAAAAGCCAATGAGCATGGAAGCATGCATTCATTCTCTCTCTGCACTGGCTAGTCATGTGACGTCATGACTCAAATTCCTGCCGCTCCAGCTTGCCAGCAGTAATGGGTTGTAATTTGGGATTGTAAGGTAAAATCAAAGCTTTCTCCCCTAAGTTGCTTGTCAGGATGTTACCACAGCAACAGAAATCAAAGGAGGATACTCCCTGTCTCCCTTGCTTTCTTTTAGAAATTTTTAGTTTTAGTTTTTAATTATGTCTAATGTGTTTGTATGTGTATGGGGATATGCACGGGAATATAGATGCTCTTGAAGACCTGAAAGCCCAGGACTTCAGACCTGTAGCTTGAGTTACAGGAAGTTGTGAGGCACCAGACATGAATGCTAAGGAACAAACTCAGGTCCTTTAAAGAGTAGCAAGTATTAATCAGTGAGTTCTCTCTCCAATTCTCCTCTCTCTCTCTCTCTCTCTCTCTCTCTCATCTCTCTTGCTCATCTCTCTCTCTCCTCTCTCCCCCCTCTCTCTTTCGCTCTCTCTGTGTGTGTGTGTGTGTGTGTGTGTGTGTGTGTGTGTGCGTATTTGTGTTTTGCTTGCATGTATATCTTATGACAGTGTCAGATCCCCTGGAACTTGAATTATACGGACAGTTGTGAGCTGCCATGCAGGTAGCTCCTCTCTCCAGCCCTCCTTTCTTCCTTTACTAACTTTGTCTTTCACCCTATAACCCAGGCTGGCCTCGAGCTCATGATCTCCTGCCTTAGCCTACTGAGTACTGGGGTAACACACGCATGTATGCACAACCATTCCTAATTCTGGCAGGGAATAATCTTTTGAGATAAGATTGAATATGTGAGAGAAGAGCTGGACATAAGAATTAGCTGCCAAGACAAAACCATAGTAATCACTAGAGAAAGTAAATATATGAATTCTAAGGTGGGTTTAGGCAAATATGTTTCCTGTATTTTCAGAATAAGGAACT